AATGAATGACATACAAACATCTATTTGTTTATACACCCAACACTTTATTGCTACCCTTTTTGGCCCAAGCTTCAACCTTGAACCAAGTTTCATGAACATTTGGCCAGAAGCAATCAGGCTGACCAACAACCGAACGGAAATCTAACCTCCTTGATCATGATAATGAGGATTTATATTTCTTAATAATATTTGTACGTTATTCATTAGATTAACATTTAGAAGATGAGCTTTTCTTGAGTTTTAATTTCTTGATTTTACCTGAAACAAATTCTGAAAATTACTAATTTATTTACGTTAGCGGTCTTTTTCACTAGATATAACTGAACAAAAACAATTAGCTATTTACAACGCCGATCTTAATTAGCTTTTGCCTTATACAGTATGAGCTATCATACACTCAACATTTAACTTGACTTTATATTCCCAATTTGCTAATAACAAATGTCCAACACAACAGAGTGCTTGAACATTAAAATCATTGAATTAACTTCACACCCTAGTATCATTAGCTTCTCGAGATGAGGTAAACAGTTCACCCTCTGAAACGTGGCACGCCGTCGGCCTCTTGCCGCCATTTTGAAAACCCCCTATAGCTTTTGGTCTTTGTGACAGTTCTCAATGTTACTACACTTCTATTTTAGTCCAAAGGAAACAGCTGCAGATTATTTATTTTTCATACTTTTTTTTGGCTTGGAAAAAGAAAATGTGTACACCACAGGGCTTGGCCAGCAACCTTAAACCCCAAAACATTATCTTCAGTCCACACAGCTTCTGGCTATGAAGGCGCTTCTCCTCACGGGCCAGGGGGCTCTGCACACACTGGTCTGCTTCCTCTGGAACATAAGTTAACATTCTGCAGCACAGGGGAGAACCCTCATTCTTTGCTACGCCTTCTGAATCTGCTAGTGGGAGAGCAGTTACTGCACACAACTCAGAGAGAGACAGAAGTGAGGACCCCTAAGAATATTGAAAAGATGAGGCAGGAGGAGTCGGAGAAAAGAACAGACCATATCCTGCAAACCAATTATATTTCCCCACCTCTCTCTTTGTACTTTTTCTCTGACTGGACTGTGAATTTGGGCAACGTTGGAGCCAGGCCATTACTGCTTTACAAAGAGATGGTCATGGCATGTCTTCTACTCTGTCAATTAGCTAGAAACAAATTACACAGACTGGAAAGACAAATCGCTGCAGTAATGAGGCAAAAATGTGTTAGTACAAGCACAACTATACATCTGCCAAAATGCTATTGAATTTCATATTTTAGACTTTTTTTTAATGAGAGAGGGGATGAAATGCATCAAGGGACCTTGGGTCGGATTCAAACCCAGTTTCTGCTAAAAATAATTCAGCATTTGTACGTTGGATGCCTCCTAAATTTGAGCTACCAATGTATCGCGCTAGTGTACATTTTAAAAGAAATAATTAAACATTTAGGGCCATGGGCATCATTGGTAATACCCTTATTTACTTTCTAAGTGAGTTACATGAGGTTGTTAATACCACTGTCATACATGCTTCAAAAGGAACATGGGAAGTATTTTTATCTGTCACTATGAAGTAACAGTATACTACTACAAATATATGAATTACTTAATATTCAATAATACATGTATTAATGTAATAATATAGGATTTCTCCACATTACAAAACAAAGTCTATCTGAAAACACCCTGACAGCTGTATATGCTTAGAGATGTTTTTTAAGCAAACCTAATTCAACACTTTATTTTACACTTGGCTTATTCTGCTAACTGTTGCTTCATATTTTAACAGACAGAAGTTTGAGTGATATTAATCTTTTCACCAAACACGAAAGAAAGTATATCCAAATTGTTGAATATTCAACCCCAAAGTTGATCAGCTGTATTCGTTGACTGACTGTATGCACAGTAATGTGTCTACTGTCCAGGTTTAGGAAGACAATTCCTCTCTAACATTAAGCAAAAACAGCAGTACAAATGGGAACTTATGCAAGCATAGAAATTGGAAGCATGGGGGATTTGCTTGCCTGGCAACGCCCAGGTCAAATAAAAAGATCTACCTGAACGCTCCTTGACAGATGTCAACGTGTTCTGGAGTCTTGGATGTGTATAATAAGGAATATGTAGAGTGACACAACTTTTTTAAGGTAGCTGTTTCTCCCCGTCTTCACTCTTCCACTAAAGTAACGCTAGGCAAATTGTGCTTGCTGTAGCTTCACCGGACAGATAAGTGAATGATATAAATATTTTCAACAAATATTTTAAAAGTGAAACTGATATGATATACTGTATTGAACCCTTAAAGGTGGGGTAGGTAATTTCAGAGAAACCAGCTCGAGTGCGCTAGAATTTGAAAATACACAACCGGAGAAAATCTGCCACTTCCTTATAGAGCCCCTCCTCCAACACACACGAACGCGCACATGACCAATGAGGGCACGAGATAAGTTTGTGCACAGATGGAAGGCTGACAGGCAGGTAGGCCATCCAGTTATTTTAGCCGGGCCGGCTTTTTACAGTATTACGGCTTCCACAGATGACATTTTTTTATGGATTTGTTGTCAAAGCACTTAAGATATTCATTGCTATTGGGATGTTAAGAGCATTCCATGGAATATAACAAAAAGTGTATCTCGAGCCGGTTTCTCAAACGTCCCTACCCCACCTTTAACTGGATAACATGTATTTATTGACCAACTGTATTTTGAATCTGAATCTGACTCTTCCGGTTTAAGAAGAGCATTCCTGCAAGAAGGAGCAAATACAGCACCTTTAAATGTAGCACAGCACCACCTTGGATTTTCTCAAAGAGGAAGCACAGTGATTTCTTTGTACAAGGCTTCCAGTCATTCCGCTAACATGCACGGACATGTAGTGGACATATCAGTACGCATCAAAAATAAAACACTGGCTTTATTAATTCAAAATGACTTTTTGGTGGCAATAGCAGTCAGGGTTGGAGATGACAGTTACAATCTGCAAACACTCCAAGCTTGGACTTTCAGGATTCCTTTTGCTGTAGAGCAGCTGCTGACTAAAACAGAAACACTAGTGGAACACAGGCCCAACACTGGGACCGTCCTTAATGATTAAAACATTCTCTTGAATCGTATAGTGTCTGTTGATAGTTTGCCCTTATATTGTATATAGATCACACACAGTCTAAAGCTACATCTTGTTAATGCTGCAGTTGAACCCCAGTGTAAATGTCAATACAATTGGGAATTCAATCGTATTGAAAATCCACTTTTCCAATCTTTAGATGAGTCCATGATTTAGTGCTTGTGTTTCAGAAATCAGTGAATATGTGTGGGTGGACTCCCTCTGCTTTCAAATAGATTTTTGTACAGTACATTCTTGACTGCTATCCGTGATCGAAGGGTCACAAACGCTGTCCATTCGTATCAATTACACTCCACTTTTCTTTGAACTTATTCCCACACATGGAAGTCAATTATGTCTAATTGCTGGTAAATTACACAGCACTCGCATGGCAGTTAATGTGCATGTATCGCGGAAGTATTTTCTGAAGGTTATCACATCGCAGTCATTAACTGTTACAAGATAAGAGAGCTGAGAGGAAATGGCCACTCTGAATACTGCAGTATTAAACTCTCATGGATGAAGTTCTTTCAGGATAACAACACCTACATGCCTGCACTCTGTTAAGGATTACATTCTACATATCACTCTGCATTAAAGAAAATGAGATAATGCAGGTATAACATAAAAATACAAGCTATATCATTGACCATTGTTAAACCAGAATCCTTGCAGCTTCCAAAAGGATTTAGCAAAAGTACGTCAATTTATTATAGTCATTTAGTTATTTTTAGTTGTTTTTTATCCGATTTGCAGTCAATTTCTGCAAGTCCTCCCCTTTCTTGTTTATCTTCGGCTGTACTATATTGATTTTTATAAATCAATCGATCATAAGTAAAAAACGATCCATTTAAAACCTGGCTGTACAATCTGACAAAAATAGCGTTTCTTTTCCTTATCCGATTCCATCCTTCAATGCATTATTTACCCTTTAATAGTAGATCATTCCTGACTTTGGCAAAATGATTCTGTTCTTCTCCACAAAATATTTGAATCTACAATCTCCATGACATATTGACAACTCATAGATCAGCTGGATAATAATGTCCCTCCGGATTGCATAGTACAGTACATCATCTCATTAAATAAAGTTATTGATTTTGGACACAAAGGTCCATGCTGACCGATCATTAGCAAGTGTGTTAGCAGAGTTGTTAACAATTTCATGAAGATAATTAAACAGAGAACTCTTGTTTAATAACTGTCTGCAAAGCACATCCTTTGGTGGAGCAGTTTCAACTCTGACAGAGGAGCTTGAATAAAAGTGGATGATGCAACAGCAAACACACTTCGATGGATTCACTTCTCAGGACTCTCAAAGGTCAGCACTGCTAATTGATTTCACCGTGAAATGGTTTCAATCCATATGTTAATGTGACCAAGCATTTAGAGTTTAATTGACCTTTAAAACCTAACTTCAAACAAATGTTCTTGTTAAACTTGGAAGATAATAAAAAATGCTGGCATACTTTTCAATAATTAAGCTTTCACATAGCGATGTAACATGCAAAGATGGTATGTATACTGCATCCCCAGTGGAAAGAGGGTATGGGGCTTCATCCCATATATGACACTCATTAATATTCATGATATTAATTAGCACTCTAGACTTGTGTGTGAGTGTATTATAGTGCTAAATGCAAATGTGTTCATCTGCTATAAGTGTTACTACGGTATGTATGTAATTGGCTTGATTGCGTGTTCCCTCTGTTTCAGTTTTGAATGCATATCTCCTAATTTCATTGTATTCTTTATTTATGTTCTCTCGTTCTATCGTGTAATTCCTGTGTGTGTGTGTGTGTGTGTGTGTGTGTGTGTGTGTGTGTGTGTGTGTGTGTGTGTGTGTGTGTGTGTGTGTGTGTGTGTGTGTGTGATAAATGCTTGTATATTTAGTCAGTCATTGTATTCTCCTACCTGTTTGTCAGTGAGGGCGTATAAGTACTGATGGTCTGGGCTGAAGAGCAGATCTCTCAGGAGGGGGCTCCCTTCGCTCACCACCACATTCTCATACAGCAAGGCAGGCTGGGTAACGGAGTCCACCAGGATCTGGAAGAGGACAGAGGAAAGAATAAGAGACATGGCTATAATCCAACATTGAACTTCATCCATGAGAGTTTGAGACTGCGCTTTTTAGGCATGATTACAATCCAATTTTATTTGAACATATTGTTTAAGAACTGACTTTCCTTAAACAGAACAAATATAAAAAAGTAGTACACAAACAATGGTGTTCTTAACCTTTGACACAAAACATGTTTTGTTGCACTATTGTGTTGTATTTACTTTTCTGATAAACCTTTACTATATGTTTAAGGGCTTCACTCTCCACAGTATCTCCTCTGTACTGTAAACCATTGTTTGTGTATTTAAAAGTTCCCTATGTACTTTGTAATTGTCTTCATCACCGAGTTAAACACAATTTACCCAGAAGAACAATAACACATTCTTGCTGAATACTGAATACATTGTGTCCGACTCATTCCAGTCTCTTCTAATATGCAGCAGTTATGTTTATGGACAAAAAAGTGTGTTTACTTCCACCTCATATACAAGCAAGCAATTCTTATGTTGCATTACACTTCATTTAGTTGACAATTCATGCAGAAGCAAAAAAATCATACCAGCTTGTAATCTGTATGGTGTAAATACAGTACACAACAAAATGATGTTGCTGCTTACACTGTTAAGTCTACTGGCAACATGACAGAGTTATGAGGTACTAGCAAGTAAATATTCTACTCTCTCTCTCTGTACTTTTCTTGTCTGGATTTTTCTCTTTCTAATTTCCCGACCCCGATCTGCTCATCCATCACCTGACAGCAGTTTAGTCTGCAACAACGTTTCTGTTTCTCTGTGGCCTAGACTCGCTCTGTCATCCCTCTTTTCTTTGTCTCAACAGTCTCTGCGGTTGTTATCGGCCAAATCACTACCAGTGTTAATCTGTTCCTCTGAACAGAAGGTTCATTAACAGACAGACTGGCATTACGGTATTGTTGCTTAAGAGGAAGCAGCTTTGGTTAAAAGTCAAGGGCTTTGGAAAATCAGCTTTGAAGAGTAACTCAGTGGGACATCGGAGGGTTAAATAAAAATTAATGGATTTAAACACCATGGAATGTGCATCACTTACAACTGCAATCCTTCACATCTCAACGTCTGATTTAGACTAATTATCAAAAGCTGAGCTGGGAGGTCCTGAATCGTAACAAGGTAATCATCAAAACTATAGAAAATAAATGTAATGATATGTCTGTATAATACATATATTCTTTAAGCATATTATCTAATTTAAAATGCAAAAATAGCACAGGAGCACTTAGACTGCTTGGCAGAGCAGTTCGGGGGACATTTTTGATTTGAGAGTTTTAGTCTCTCTTATTTGTGCAGGTTAGCGGGCCGTTAAAGGCTAGCAAGTGTCCTTATTATTCCTTTTGGGATCTTCCCTTTCCTGTAGTGTGTTCTATAGGTTTTTGTGTATGTAAGCTGTCTGCAAAAGCATCCCAACATTTCCTCCAGGGAGTTTCTCCCACACTCCCTCCCCTGCCTGAAACACCTTCCGTAATTAGTGATATCACTACACTTCACCCGCGCTTCCATTGGTAAGCACTCCAACACATTGAAAGTGATAGGCTCAGGGGCGGGACAGCTCTAAGCGGTTGACCAATAACCAATCAGATCAGACTTGGCTCTGGTTTCAGACAGAGGGTGGAAAGAGGACCTACAGCACAAGCAGTATGAGAAAAATAAATATGTTTTTGAACAATAAAGCATGGACACATGTCCCAGATGGGGAACAAAAAAACAATATTAACCCGAAAATGAGCAAAGAGCCTCTTTAAAGTGTCTAAACCTTGGAATTTACACCTAAAGCTAAAATGTAAAGTACAGTATGTAGACTAGAAAGGAGTACGTTTGGGTACAGGGCCAAAACTGCTAACATATGATTTGATATCGGCTTGTAATGTTTACAGTGTCTAGACAACAAAGTCGCTAATTACACACACAACCTTTCCAAACTTCCAAAATAGATGTGTTTTTGTGTGGAGGAGTTTTATCCCAGTTGTTACTGTGCAAAGGTCATTTGTTTTAGCAGTCCCTTATGCTGCTCCCTCATGAACACAAACACAGAAACCTTTATCGATGTGACTGTGACCTTCTGTCCTTTTGTGTCTTTATCTTATTCTGTAAACAAAAGCACACATTCACACTAAAGGCAAACACTTTATTTGGCCATTCTCAAACTGCTACACGCCCTGGAGCCGCTGAATCGCCTGGGATGAGTGGAGGACTGTTGGAGCGAGGGGGGAGCGGGGAGCGGGGCGCAGGGAGCGTGCCCCGGCCTACAGCTCGGGGCAGAGGGCAGTTGGAGTGGGATTCAGGTCAGCTGGCACAGAGGGGACTGCAGACTGGAGCAGGTGACTGGAGAAATTCATCTAGTCTACCAGCCTCAGGGTTCTGCCTTCTGTGACCTCTGGAAGTTTCTGTGTCCAAAGATAACTTCTCACTTTGGAAGCGGCAGCACGTTCTGCTGAGAAACTTTCCTTAACCCACTAATAAGCCACTTTTTTCTTAGAAATGTCCCCTGTTTACCTAACTGTAACCCCCTGCGGAGACCAGCTCCATAAATGCAGCTTATTATCTTTTTGTAGACTGTTCTCACTGAAGTCAAAGCCATACCAGGGTAAAAAGAGGCGACACATGGGCATCTGGAACTTTTTAATATTCCCATTTGTCCAGTTACGTACTTTCTGGAACTGTTTAGCAGAGAGCCCAGGCAATAAGATGAAAGGGACTCAGTGTGGACCGGTTTAAAAGGCGCTTATTAAATATGCTTTTATAACCAGTAGGGGTGATTATTAGAACACAAAAAGCCCATAAAGGATCACACGTTGATGTTACTGACAGCTTATGAGTCATTAAAGTAGACCATGTTTTTTTCCTGTTTAGTTTACCTCATCAGAGCGAGACAATCATACGTCTTTGCTCAGCAGGAGCTCTCAACACACTGAACATTAATTGCTGCTATTTGCATTCAAATGATCCACCAACCAATTAGTATCCAAACACCCACTTTGTTTGGAATGTGGCATCTAAAATGACATTAATGGAGTCACTTCAATCGCTGAGATACGCTCCATTTATATTCCTAGCACTTAGATAATGCTCTGTTCTAGGGTGATGTAAATTGAGGAAGCAGGAATAGGTTGCGTGTCTTTCTTGAGGACAGCACAATAAGTCATGTGTTACTGTATGTCTTCGACCTTTCAACTGAAGTACGGTCTCTCTCGGCTGCTTTTAGTGACACAAGTGCAAAGTTAAAGGTGACTTTATCTGCTGAGTTTCCAGCCTGTAACTTTTTCTTGTATCGTCCTATGTCTCCACCTCGGACCTTGCTTTGGCTTCTATCCTCCTGGGATTAGACTCATTACCAAAGCTGATATTATCAAGGACACTGCAACCCTCTCACATTTGATGTCTACAGGTGTAAGCATGAAAGTATATTTCGGTACACACATTTACAAAAAGCTAAGTGCCATCAAGTCCTTCAGAAAAAAGAAAAAAGAAAGAAAAATGCAATGTCAAGCTTCTTCTAACTTTGCTAAAGGAAGACGATAACCATAATTCACAATGCCACTATACATCCTTTTAATCATTGTTTTACACTTAAATTATTGGTACATTTTCTTATGTGAATTCTAATATACTAGATAGTTGTCAAGGTTGGCTGCCAGGTATCGCAAGTTTAGTGTATGCCAAAAGGGTCACTTGTTTACGAATAGGAGGGTCTCTACTAGTGAATCTGTGTTTGACAAACGTGTTCAAGCTTTTGCAGCTCAGTCTAGAGGGCCACTGGTGTGTCAAAGAGCTGTTAGGGACTTTAGTGTCACTGGTAGGGCATTATTATGGAACTAGAAGGACAAAAGGACCACTTTTTGTTCAACTGATCAAACAGATTGCCAAACTAATCAGACGAAATGTCCAACTAGAGACTGGAGAAAACTAGAGAAACTGCTGTCTGATATCAAAGATATAAAATAAATACTAAAATGGTTTGCCATCGTTTAAAAAAAAGTGAGCGCTGCCAGAAGTCTAGATTAAGTGAACACTCAAGAAGATCACAAACATGAACATTTAACATCATGTAACATCCAACATTGGACTTAACATCTGTTTCCTGAAACCTTCAACTGCTACTGATGATGGCTTTAATGAAAAATCTAAATTTTCCACCAATATTTTTCCTTTTTCTAAGGGTAAACTAAACTCTTGAATGTTGACACTGGTACCTTTTGGTAGTCTAATAATGAATATAAGCAATCAAACATACATGATTGTTTTGCATTCAAGGAATGAAGATGGTTGGGTTTTAAGGTAAAAGTTGATGATGAAGGTGGAGACGGATAAGGTGGGAGGTGTGGTGGACCAGAGACAGTGATTCTAAAGCTGGCTACACACCAACCCGATTTTGGGAGTCAGAGGCCGTCAGAGGCAGTCGGGCATTCGCGGCGCCCTACTCAGGTTGGTGTGTCCCGCACTGTCGTCTCTTTACGGCACCTTTTCACACCTCCCGCGGGAGGTCAGAGAAAGTCGGCCCAAGCAATCACTCTGATTGGCTGTTCACACTACCGCTGCCTGCTGGTAAGGACAGTTATTGCCACTCGTCGACTGAAGTATTTGCGGTGTGTTCGTAGGCGGGCGGCGTAGCCGACACAGGCTACGTAGCTGGCGTAAAAGTCGGGACGCCTTCGGTACGCGTTCTTTGGTCGCAGGTGGGTGTGTAGCGGCCTTTAGTGTGTGTGCACAAAAGTGTGTAAAGGGGTAATAAAAGTGAACAAAGGGGAGTAATGAGGTTTGGCTGGAGAGGGGAGATGATTAATACCATGCTGGGTTCAACCACCGGTCACACCTTTGGTTCAGGTAGGCTGGGAAAACACGCTATCAATTCTTCTTGTTTCAAAAACTGTCTTTGATTCATTTAGTCCCCTAGAGGTTTTGTTTGATTTCTCACTTCCTTTTTTCTCTGTTTCTTCTTCTGGCATGTATTTATG